ATCATGTTTATGTATTATGCCAAAAAAAAAACTTTCTTGTCTGACTTCGACTTATTTATTACACCATATCAAAATTTTCTTAAATACTCCTTCATTCTTAATCAAATGTTTTAATTTCAAATTCCTCTAAGTACAAAATTCCCTTTGTTAGAGAACGATTTATCCATAACATATAAGAAAATAAAATCAAAATCAAACCGTTTATTCCGGCGAAGAAGAAAAAAAAGAATATGAGATGGAAAAGGAGCTGCACGTTCTAGGGCCAGTTTACAAATTATAGTGTGCTTACACGTTTACGACTTTGTACTTTAATATTTTCTTTTCCTTTACTCTTATCCCATTAATTACAGCTGTCCCTTAGCCTGTCTTGTTTTCCAAAAAGGTTCGCTCTCTGATTCTGACTGACACAAAATATATGTTACTAAAATATCATTTAAAGTTATAATCTAGACGTTAATTACAAATTTAAACTATTAATAGTTGTAAAAGTTGGACATAATCATATTTATTAGTCGAATTTTGTAACACAAATGAACTTTTTAAAATATAAAAGTATCTTATATTGTTTCGTTTACGTTTTTTTTTTTTGGCTTCTTGGCCATCTGGTTTGTGAGTTTTGTGAGCAATTATTCTTCATGATTGCGGCAGTTCATAATGACTATGTTTTCTATTCCAACTCAATCGTAGTTGTCCACTTTTGACATATATCTTAAAAAATAATAAATAATACCATCAAATTATAATATTTTGAGAAATGTATTAGATATTGAATAATCTTTAATAAAATCAATAAAATAGACCAAAAAAATAAGTTATCTCTTAATTTTCTAAACTGAACAAATATTATTGGACAATTATTTTTATAAAAATGGATGGAGGGAGCAAGAACCAACCACCTCTTTTTTTTTTTTTAATAATCATTGTATTCGATTCAAGCCAACTCATACATGCTTCAATTGATTTTACAGGTATTATGCTATATCCCACCAACATATAAAAATATCAAGTAATATTATTTATCAAGACTTGAGAAAATGAAAACAAGTAACATTGTCTATCAAAACTTAAACAAATAAAAATAAATTTTGAGAAATTCAAATTTAAAATTTCATAATTTTTAGTCATTTCATTGATAATAGCCAATAGGAAACGCCCTCAGATACAATTCACGGTCACAATTTTATTTTCTGGGAAAGCTTATCTCAAAGCCTCTCCTACTCTTGACCATCTTCGAATTCTAAAATGCTTAATCAACTTTTATGTAAAGTTTATGCTAATAACCTTTAATCAGCAAACAATTCTCCCTTTCGTCCATGTTATTTAGTGGTTTTGCTTTTTGACACACTTAAAAAAAAGCATTTACTATTATGAGTTCAATTTCTATCTAGGGTCTGAGCTTAAGCTGCGGTCTACAAGATGTTTTATATCCTGTTTAATTATCTTTTCTTAATATTTTTTCATGCTATTTTTTATCACTTTTTATACCTACTATAGCCAATCTGTCACTCCTCTTCACTATGGTGTCCGTCCATCATTGCTTTACATGTTCGAATTATCTTAGTCTCGCCTCTTTCATCTTATCCACCATGCACAAACACTACTTCCACCTTACCCGCATATATTTGCTCCTAGCTAGTTCTATCTAACCTAACATGTCCACACATTCATTTCAAATCAACACTACGCCTCATTCAATATATTGCTTGTTTAACCGTCACTTTATAAAACTTACATTTAGAATTTGATAGCACAATTATCACACAATCCATACAATACAAACTTTCATTTTATCTACTCTACTTTAATACAATGTGTAACATCCTCGCATATTAATCCACACTTCTACATATTGATACTAGAGAGAAATATTAATCTTCAAGTAATTTTAATTATTGTATATATTAAAGTTCTATACGCTGTTGACTATTATTAGCACTCTAACGTTGTGAGGTCCCACCAACCAGGTGGGCAACACAAAAACAAAGTTTTTAATTCCACCTTAGAACGTGCCAATCATAACGGTAACCATAATTGATGCGAATAATTAATTGATCAAACGGTCCTTAGTGTTTCGCAACTCTTCATCTGTTCGATCATCTAATTATACACGTGTACGCTCCTGATATCTTAACACCGAAACAAAAGACGTGAACATTTTCATTTTAATTTGTTATCATTTCCCTCCTATATATACTCCATTCCCTGTGGCGGTGTTCTTCGTCTCTACAACTCTTCTTCTACCACAATACATACACTTTCTCTCTCTACAAAAAAATCACAATATATAATACAGAAAAGTTCTAGAGAGAGAAAGGGAAGAAAATGGCTTACTCGAAGATAATCGTCGTTGCTTTCATGTTCGCTTTGGTCACCGGATCTGCTTTTGCTCAAGCTCCGGGAGCTTCTCCGGTAGCTTCACCAAAACCATCTCCGGTGCCGGTAGCAAAACCTCCAACTCCTGTTGTTACACCAGTATCTGCTCCATCAGTATCTCCTGCTGCTAGTTCACCTTCTGATTCTCCAGTGTCATCTCCACCAGCTCCACCAACCGTTGACACTCCGGCGTCTGCTCCTTCCGCCGGCGGTGCTCTTGCTCCATCCATCGGCGCTACTCCAAGCGGTTCTCCAACTTCCTCTCCAAATGCTGCATCCTTGAACAGAGTCGCTGTTGCTGGATCTGCCGCTGTAGCGATCTTCGCTGCGTCTTTGATGTTTTAGATCTGAGGAGATATTTGCATTTGGGATTTGCCAGAGAGAGAGATGTTTATGATTTTAGGATTTTTATTTTTAGTTCATCTTACTCGTTGATGTTTATTATTCGTTTTGCTCTTCTTTTACTTTTACCTTTGGGTGATGGTGACGATTACGTACATGCTATTGATTTGATTTTTACTATGGTTATTGTTTATTATCATCACCATTGTTATTACTATTATTACTTGTTATGGATTCTTTGTTTATTCATGGTGCACTATGATGTTTATGTTCCATTATCATAAATAAATTTATTTAACTCGGTTAATCGACTATCTAAAAGTGAAAAAGAAAGCAGTAGGAAATTGCTAGGTAGACACGTGGTTTGACAGCTGTATGTAGAAGCAACTTCTTTTGGTTATAGTGCGGCATGTGCTTCTGGGGGCCGATTAAGTCGGAATCACGTTATACAAATACCTAGGAGTAAGTAAAGCTTAGTTCTTTATTGATATGATTATTTCCATTTTGTTTTGTTTCTGCCAGATGACAGACCATCAAGTACGGCCGATGTGACACATTACTGGTCCCTTCAACACTTCAATTATTTGTAGATTCGAAGTTTTTTTTTTTTTTCATCAAAACTAAACATTTTGTATTAGTGTATAGATAGATAATACTGAAATTAAAGCAGTAGTAACATAAGTACTTTAAATGACAATAAACAGTGAAGTACAATGTATGTTTTATATATGTCCAAATTCCCTATATAATTGATGATTTTTTAGTCTTGAAATGCAAAATATTTGATTGGTAGCTTAAATATCGCAACTATACAATTTTCATATGCCATAATGCCGTATTTGATGGGACTGAAATATCAAATGTTCAATGGGCCTTCATTTATTGACTGAGAGACACAATATTTGGGCTTGGAATTTACTAGGCATGTTATGTCTCTTGATACATGGCTTGGATATTGGATCAATATAATACAATCTTGGGCTTAGAACTATGAAGTGGACTTAATTTGTGGGGAAAATTGTATGAAATAGCAAATTATTAATTCAAATTAAATGCTATAACCACAGTTTGATTTAATTATAACATGTAGCAAACAATTGTCATTCGCCTCTCTCCCTAGGTTTCTCGCTCGCCAGTCTCTCCCTCGCCTCTCTTGCTTTTATACAAACACAAATGTATAAAATGCATTTGTATTTGTATAAAGCAAGAGAAAACTGTATATACAAAGACGAGTACATATATGTTCGTCATATACACTTATAATTATACAAATACAGATCTTCCCCTTCCCAGTTCTCTTTTGCCTTTCTCTCTTTATACAAACATAGATTATACAAATTACAATGTATAATTTGTGTTGTATAAAGCGAGATAGAGAGAGAGATTTGATATACACATGTTTTATTTCGATTCAATTGTATACAAATTCAAATTTTATACAAATATACAAACACATGAAATTGAATTGAGAGACTGCCTACGATTTATACAAACGAGAGACTGCCAATGATTTATACAAATGGCCTGCCAGCGAAATTATACAAATCTGAAGCTCTTGCCAACGAGTTATACAATCTGATGCTCCATAACAAACATAAAGTTTGTTATAGAGCGCAATTATACAAACTATAGTTATACCATACAAATATGATTTTTATGTTTGCTATATGTGAAAGTTGCTCTAATTTGTGGTGGCTCAACAAGACCCAACCCATCCCTAATGAATTGAATTTTGATTTGATTAGATCATGTAAACATGTTGTTTTGACGAACCTTCAAAAATCATAATCATAATCATGCATCAAGTATTCCCTTCGTTTCATATTATTTGACTCTTATTGATCTAACACAATCCTTTAGAAAGTTTTAATTAAAATTGTATTTTGCCAAAACTAATCTTATGAATGATTCTTTAAATTGACTACTATTACGTATTTTATATAGTTATTTGATACTAAAGTAATATGAGAAAATATAATAAAATTCTCTTATTATTGCCTCGTTATGCCTGAGTTGTGAGGTCTATCAACCATATGAATAGTTCAATGTGCACATCAACTCATGACCCTGAGATGTTGGTCATCCAAAGCGCATTAGCATAACGTACTCCTCATGTTTGAATCGAGGTTTGATATACAAGTAAAAACATCTATTAAAGAAACAACGAAGTAAATGAAACGAGGGAGTACTTTACCAAAAGAGTCATGACATGCCATTAAATCACAAGTGAGAACAAGACATGTATCAACCCAACCACTTACAAAGAGCAAAGCAAATAGAAAAAGCAGTAAACATAAATAAAATCAACAAAGTAACAAGGGAAAAAAATGGTCACAACATGGCACTGCCTCTATCCTGGCTAAGCTTATTAAATAGTAACAAAATAACTAAATATTGCAACCACACCGGAAATTAACAAAGGAATAAATGGTGACAAAATTACTGATGCAGATGGATGTGCAGTAGTAGGGGTGGTGGTGCCGGATGTTGGTGTGGTGGTGCCGGTTGATGGTGTGGTGGTGTCCGGTGACGGTGTGGTAGAACCACCACCTGCACCACCACCGCCTCCGGCTGCTGCTACTGTAACGGCGAGCTTCATGCCACCGCTGCAATGGCCCATTACGCCGCAAATGAAGTAATGAGTGCCGGCGGTTTTGAGAGGGATAGTGGTGGCGCCGCTATTGTCGGACGTTATGGAATTACCGGTAGTGCATGAAGCATAGTCACTAGAACTTACTTCGTCCACCGAGTGACCACTTGGATAGTTGAAAGCTGCAAAAATAAAATAAAGTATTATTTACTATTACGAGTTTAATTTCTATACACAATGTATGTGACTTACTTTTTCTTTTTAGAACTTATATTTCATATTGTAGCAGAAAGAATAATATCTTTCTATATTTAGAAGCAACTTAATTGTAACTTTAAATTTTTCATTTTATCTTTACAAGATAATCTATAGCTTTTGAACGGTATCCGGCAAAAATGTAACATTCACCTCGAGGATTTTCAACGACGTATGGACGAATAGGCAATCTGAAAATGGCAAATTTCTAATAGTATATCTAAGGTTTGTTTCAAATCAAAAGTTAAAAAAAATCTTTCTTAAATTTTATCAACATTTTTTTTTATTATCAATATTTCATATATATGATGTCACATAAATCGGAATAAAGGGAGTGCATTACTTGATATTTTCATATGTAAAGATAATTTCTTGATTTGCTAAGTCATTTTTTTTTTTTAAAAAAATGTGTATATATGGGGGAGAAAACTTACCAAGTGAATCACCAACATTCAATGTTGTTCCACTAGCCCAAGTGGTATAATCCACACCAAGTCCCCATCCAGATGAGTCTCCAACAGTATAAACTTTGGCCAAACTTGGAACAACACAACACATGAACAAAACAATTACACCCAAAAATTTTCCCATTTTTTTTTTATGAATCTAAAAGATAGAGAGTTGGTATTCTTAATTTTGAGTGAAGAATGCCTTTGATTTGATTTTCTTATATAGTAGAATGCATTGAAAAGGAAATGGAGTGGGTCACTTAATATTTTTGTAATGGGGTGCATATATAGTTGTAAAGGAGATGTCACATAATTTCAGTTTGACATACATTATACCTAATGCCTTGAAAAAGTGGTTACTTTTATCTCTTTGTTTCTAGCCTTGAAGAATTAGGTTGGTGAAATGAATTATGTTAGTTAAGATATTCTTGTTTGCCTGATGAAAAACATGAGGTTGAAACATTATATTACATGATGTGAAATGCGTAGAGAACAAGTCATGTATAATCAAATATATGTTTGACCATTTTCACTAATTTCTAATTAGTGCTAATTTACAAACCTCCCCTCCCCTAAAGTCCCAACGCTATCATATGAAAAGAATAAACATATGAGTCATAGCATGTTCGATCAAACTTTCATAATCTCTTTCGATCTAAAGTCTCAATGCCATGAATACAAAAAAATAAAAAAGAGTCACAATCATATGAAAAGAATAAATGTATGAGTCATCAATATTTTCTAATTATAGCATGTTCGATCAAACTTTCATAACCCCCTCGGCCTAAAGTCTCAACGCCATGAATAAAAATAAATAAAAAGGAGTCACGATCATATGAAAAGATAAACGTATGAATCATCAAAATTTGCTAATTACTGTAGTATGTTCGATCAAACTTTCATACACCCCCCACCCCACCCCCCACGATCATATGAAAAGAATAAATGTATGATGCATCAAAAAATTTCAATTACAATAACATGTTTGATCAAACTTTTATATAACTAAACACCATGAATTAAAAAAAATAAAATCAAATTTTGATAATTACTATAACATGTTCGATCAAACTTTCATATATATATATATATATATATATATATATTATTTTGAGAGGTACTTTTTGGGAGTAGGAAGATCACTTTTCGAACAACTTGGGGGAATTCCATATATAAAGTATATATGGACTCTCTTTATGTTAGGAGTAATGATATATAGATAAAAAGATTCAAGATAATATATATTAGATTGGTCTCATAATTAGCTAGAATAAAGTGACACTATATATATAGTCTTATATATTAATTCGAAAGAATTTTGTAGAAAAACCAAAGACATGTTAAAGGTCGTCCCCCAGCCCCACCACCCGAAAAAAAAAAAAAAAAAAAAAAAAAAACCCACACATCTATTTATTTTTTAAAATGATTATAAATAGACTTCTTTCAAATATAAAAAAGAAAAGAAAAATTGACCCTCTGTTTAGGGATGAGGGATAGTCTTTCTCGTATAAACTTACAAAATATTCACCTAACAATTGGTGTAAAGGTGACTAGGGGGTCCCGCCACATGCCAACCTCAATTAAAGTGTCATCATTTTTTTTATAAAAAAAATTTGGTGTCTAGTATTTATATTGGGAGTCCAGAGCCAAAAGGGCAAAAGAAATTGTCAAAAATTTCAAAAGGGCACATCAAATTTTGTTAAAATCAAAAGGGCAAAATCGCTCCTGACGAAGCGATTTCCCTCTGACACAATGACAAAATCGCTACCCTAGCAGCGAGCAGCGATTTTAAATTAGATTTTTTTTTTCCTTACACATCGCTACAGTGCTATTATTTTCATGCCTATTGTTAATTATTAATAATATAAAAATAATAAACGATAAACAATATACTCAATAAAATTGTTGAAGCATGAAGAACATTGAATTATATATCATAAATAATAATAAAAGAATATTAACGATATATACACCTAATCTTTGAATTCAAAATTTTCTGATAAAGGCAAATTCCATTCCAAGGGAACTCTAACCCCATACCCCCATCACAACCTTGTTGGTGTGTCGTCATTTTATTTTATTTTTGCTTCTTCCGTTCATATTTTCTGATTATAGAAATTCGCATACTTTTTTTTTGTATATTAACTATTTCCTGCGTTTGAAGATGCAATTTTAGATCACAACTTGAAATCAAAATTTCTCACAGTTATTAAAACAAAATAAGGAAAAGAAAGTTCACTGATCTTAAAGTTGCAATTTGGACGATTTAAATTCTGATATTATGATTCAAATTATATTTATGAATATGACGAAGCCACGTGTACAAGGTGATATAGGAGCAGCACAAAAATTACGATAGTGGGGACTCATAAAACGACCGAGTGAGACAATCTAACAACAATTTAGATGTCAAATTCAATATTGTTATCTTTGGAATCATTCTTAAAGTCAATTAATTCTCCTTTAATGATCATTTCTTAAGGTGAGGTCTTTGCGTTATTTCTCCTTCAAATTATATTTCATTTGAATCACACGTTGATGAGACCAACTTATTTGGGATCGAGTAGTCAAATTCAACATTACATTTCTATAAATTGAGGTTTAGTTGAAAAAACGTATTTGGGAGTTAGGATTGAAGTTTTGTAAATGAAAACTTGATAAAACTCGAAAAACTTGTCTCTCAAATTTTGAATTTCATATTTCAAGTTTGGAGTTTGAAGTTGAAATAGTGGTTCAAATAGATTAAAACAAACATCTATTTATATTTAAAAAATGCCTTCCAAATATTATTTCAAAATTTTAAAACAAAAATCCATGAACAAATGGGTCTTTGAGAGAATTAGAAACTAATTTTGTTGGGTTTGTTAGGGTCCAGAGGGTCGGGCCAACTGCTCCCCTCCTGCGCCTGCTCCTTTTTAGCTGTCCAATTTGATCATTTGCCAATGAGGTCTCATATTCGAACACTGAGTATGAAATAAAATCGGAACTTCAATACGGGGAACAAATATGACGCATCCAAATTTTCTGGTTTTAGTAAAGATAGAAAATATTAACCAAAAAGACGAGGTCTCTGACATGGGATTCGGAGGTTTGGCTAATTATAGAAATGGTATCTCGTCAAATGTTACATCTCACCTGAAATTTTGGTAGCACTTCAACATCACTCTTATTCTTAGTGGGTTTCCTTTTTTTTTTTTTTTTTTTCCTTTTTGATGAGTACCTTCTTTAACGGATCTTAAACTCTTAACTTTTGGCAAAAAGTTACTTCAAAACTCAGACACGGACTCATGATTTAAAGTTTATGAATTCATATAACAATCTCAAGTTAATGTATAAAAATAACTTTGTTTCCAATCACATACTATAGAGAAATTTAGTAGATTTCTTAATATGTATACAATGTCTGAGCAGAAAGACTGAATTCACATGAACCTATATGTTACTTGTAGATTCATCAATGTCAAAACTTAAAAAGGTTGTCCCACACTCAAAAATTTACTCAAAATAAAGAATACAAATATGTGTAATTGCAGAAACCAAAGCTAATTCAAGATAGGTAGAAAAGGCCAAATTTGAAAAGTAATGTGCACCAAACAGCTTGGATGTAGGTGATTTCTATGGAAATGTACCGTTCATACACTTAAAATGTTCACTTGCCTTTAAAACAACTTTCTTCTTCTTAGCAACAAACTCCTAAAAGGAATAATCATGCAATTTGATACATGGTCAAGACAAATTTATAAACAGCCCTTTTCCTATTGCTAGCAACAGCTTCCACTGCCAAAACTATGAACTTTTCATTTCTCTATCGACAGCCCTTGGTCGGAAGAGAGTGATACTGCAGAGAAGAAGGGAAAGAACGAAAGAGAAAAATAGACAACTCAGTGATTGCATTTCACGTAGGGAACGGTGAAATTAAAGACAAAAAAGGTACTTAAAAAAAGAAGAAAAAGGGACGGTAAAAATTAGCATCAGCAGGCTTCCATAGCCTTTCTATATACCTCTCATTTTAAAATCCACAGCAATCAAACAGGAAGATTGAATTTGGAGCAGGACGAATAGTTTTTGGAAAGTAATCCCACAGACTATCTTATAGTTCAGGAGCTATACTTGATGAAAATTCCCAAACCCCACAAAGCTATTGACATGAAGCACCGCGATATAAAACTAAGAGCTACTTCAAAATTTAAGTTTCATGTTAGGGGCTAAACGATGCCATGACAATGTACATCGCATTGCTGAGCCCTACTTTTTGGAGTTGGATTGTCGGAACATATATTATTCATTGGATTATACACGGTTCTATAAGTATCATAAAAGGAAACCTCCATTTGTATTCCCAAATGGCATTCAGTATAAAACAATGCCTAGTTCAAGTGGTATCTCCTGTTATAAGAGTTGTGACATTTAATTTGGGTAAAGAAGACACTTCACTTACTAATTGATAGTCCAGGATCTAACCCAACTTAATCTAGCTGACTTTCCCTACTTGTCTTTCATGGTAGATTACACTTTACTAACTCGCATTATTAAAAACAAGATATGGAGAACGAGAGGATAATAAAGAAACTGTTTTTTCAATAAAAGAAGAAACAAGTGTGAGCATGGCTGGAGGTGGAGAAGGTTTTACTATTGTCCTTATGAGTTTTACAAATCATGGTGAACTCATGGTGATACAGTACCAACAAATATGGTGTGGTGTCAAATTTTTTTCAATCACAGTGTGGCACTTAAGCTTTAGGAGAAACTTGAATGACTGGGACGTAGAAGGCTTTTGTAACCTACTTCAGATGCTGGATCCCTTCCAGATTATTCAAATCTAACAGGATACTCTCAGTTAGGCAGCAAGTAAAGACAATAGTTTCTCTGTCAGCAAACTGCTATAGTTTACTAATGAAGCAAGCTGATCAATGGGATGATAACTGGCTTTGGAAACCAATTAGGAAGACTAAGGCACCTGTCAAGGCAGTATGGTTTGGGTAGGTTGCCTCTTTGGGGGGACTGCTTAACATAAAACAAATTGCAGAAAAGAGGATTCCTATTGTGCAATAGATGATATTTATGTGAGAATGACCAAGAAACAGTAGATCACCTCCTCATACTCTGCAAACTAACTAGACAATGCTAGGATTTGTTCCTAAGTATATGTAGAATCTATTGGGTAATGCCACTCAAGGTAAGAGATTTGATGGAATGCTGGCAACATCAAAGAACTCCTAGAGAATTGAAGCAGATCTGGAGGACCATCCCTCTTTGTATCTTTTTTTTTTTTTTGAGAATAACCATCCCTCTATGTATATTCTGGACCATTTGGCTAGAGAGGAACAAGACACGTTTAGAAAGTCAGAACAATCATATCTCCAGAATCAAGGATAACTGCCTCTAAAATTTATATTTCTGGAGTAGAAGTTGTATGGTGGATGGTCTTAGCCAATATATGAGTTTTCTAGAACTTACTTGGAAGAAGGATGTAACTGACTGCATTCCCATGCCCTGCAGGTCTTTTGTATCTTTTTAGTAACATCTTGGTAACTTAACAATAAACCTCAGAACAAGACTTGTGCTCTCTAAGAAGGATGTGCATACGTTTTAAGTGATCTCTTAATTGTTGATTCAAGACACAGGTGCTAAGAACTTAAAATCAGACAAAAAAAATTGTCAAGATAAAAAGTAGATGTAAAAGAAAGTGATAGTGCAAATAAGTGGAAAATGAAGTGTAATAGAGAGCACAACGCACCTTACACATTTATGAATTGTTATATATTAGTACGAGGAAATAGGAGCAAATGCGGCCTAGAGTGTGAACAGAGACAAAGTAAGCTACCCTACGGTATTGGGATGTTACTTATGGAATAGATAACCAAATGGGTTCACCTAAGTAGGATACATGGAAGAACTACGTTTGACAATTAATCTTGAAAAACTACAACTTAAAACTTAATGCTTGTTCATAACATTAAGGAGATGAGTGTATATGTTGGAAAAACAGACAAAATGAAGACACTAATACACGGGAAGAAACAGATAGCTATGATCCTACTCCATACCCCCGATCAGCACTCAGTAGTATCATATATCTGCTAAAATATCCTACAATGAATTGATTTAATCAAACTTCTAAACAAAAAGGACAATAAGTCGATAATTTTTTTCAAACATATCAAATGCTGGGAAGTCCGTAATGATTCATAATTTGCCAGAGCAAATATTGTTTCATAGCAACTACCCAAAGCACCAATATGTCACCAGCAGTGGTGGAGGCAGGAATTCTATCAAGGGGTTTCAAATAAAACATAGGCGAAATCCTGAACCCCATAAACCATTGAGCTACTCCTTTGACATATGCTCAGGGGGTTCAATTTTAACTATATACACGTACACAAAAACATTGATCTTATATATATAGTGTAATTTTTTTTCCGAGGGGGGTCGGATGACCCCCCTGGACACACTCTACATCCGCCACTGGTCACCAGCACGCATTTTCATATATCTGGATATCTGGGTAGACAAAGAAATACTGATTCTCTTGCAATGAGACCTTGAAGGATACATGGCATGTCATGTAGGGACTGCATTCAATTATCATAGAGAATATGCCAAGCGGTAGTGATTCTCTTGCAATGAGAATTTAGAGGAGATGTCACCTTCGGACTGTATTCAATTTCCGTAGTGGACATTTCTCTAGAAACTTATACTTGATTAAACATTTTTTCCGCACCTCTAAACAAAACGAAGAGATAGAAAACAGAAAGTAATCCCGAATAATAGAGGAAACCAAAGGAACAGGGAACGTACATGAAGCTATATAAAAATTTCTGACACAAATTTTTTGAAGATATCTGCCTGGATTCTACTATACAAACAAAAAGTCATGGAAACTCACTTCCTCAGAGGAATAACTTCCAAAATTCAGCAGCATTAGCTCATTCTGCCACAGAGATCAATTCAGATGGTAGTTCTTGGGACTGGATAGCCTTTTTTGTCTCTTCTCTAAGAAACCTTTTACTCTGTGCCACCCTTATAGCTCTTCCCATAAATTCCTATGGATGAAGATATACTCAAATCAGGTTTTTGACATTAATCAGATCCATGGTTCAAGTTCAAAAGAGTAAATAAACTACAGGAACCGCAATGAACATTCAATAAATGGAAACTGAAATTCATCACAACAAGCAGCCAAACCCAAAATTACCTTTCCGTCAAAGGAGGATAATGCTGCATCAGCTTCCTCCTTGGTATGAAGGGAAACAAATCCATATCCTGCAGATCTTCTGGGATTATCATTGAATATGACTTCAGCAGAAACAACATTTGCACCATTAGCCTTAAAGAATTCCAGCAGGTCGTTAGACCTTGCTTCAAAATGTAAATTAGCCACAAAGAGATTGTGTATAGGCAGCGGCTTGGATGGTGGTGGAGAAGAAGGTTTCTCAGTCTTTGGCTTAGCCCATGCAAGTCTCAAAGGTCTACCCTCAAGTTCCTGTCAAGTGTTAACAACCAATAATGTAACCCAAACTCATCTCAAAAGAGTCAAATAGTGACAGAATTTTTCAGGAAGAGTTAACATTCGAAATCCTTACATACGCTTCAAGATTTTCAAGAACTGCCTTAGCTTCCTCATGTGAGCCCATTGTGACAAAGACCAAACCCCTGCTTCTTGTCTTGTTATACATCGCAACCTTGAGGACAAACAACAGACAACTAACCCATCTCAGAAAAACTTAAAAAGTATAATCGAACCTTCAAGAAACATAATGAGTTCAGGCAAGTTTGGTATGGCGAAAAATATTTTTTCACCTGAAACCATTTTTCAGTATTTGGTTATAAGATAAATCTCCTTGAAAACAATTCTTCATCAAAAGGAAAAATGACTTCATTCACTTATGGTTAGAGGTCATTTTCCTCTCCAAAAATCACAATTCTTAATTCATAACACCAAATTCAACCAACATGAAGACGATGCTTCCAACCTTCAATACTAGAAATCATCATCATACCTTATACTGCATCTAGTATCATTATCATGTCACCTACTTACCAATATTTGATTACAAACAAAATTTCTCCATCCAAAAGTAGACTTTTTCACCTGTGGAAGTAAGTCAGTTTCCTTCCGAAATTCTTAATCCATAACACTAACGTCAACCAACTTTTCAATTTCCAATACTACTACAAAAATAATAGCTAACCTCTCTCCCCATAAAGGCAGGGTTAATGTATGTGTACATTCCACTCCCCAAACCCGAGACCCCACTTGTGGAACTATACTGATATGTTGTTGTTGTACTATAACCCTATACTGCACCCTTGTAACTGTTTTCACAAATATAATTCTACATACATAAAGCAGAAATTTTAAAAAGGTGCAAACCTCAATATCCTCCACAGTGCCATATTTCTCAAATAGAGGTCGAAGGTCATTTGCTGTATAGGTCCAAGGAGCATTCTGAGCAAGCACTCTTCTTTTCAAACTTTCATCTTCTAATTGTTCTTCTAGGTCTTGTGCAGTTTCTGGAGTTTGGGCAGACGAAGAGCAATTGGATATGTAAAGGTAAGGTCTTTGAGCTTTGATGGGGATTAATGGGGAGAAACAAGGAGTCCGCAAAGAAATGGAGGATGGGGATAGTAAAATGGGAGTTGTAGAATGGTGGTGAAGGGGAAACAAAGTGGATGATGAAGAAGGAAATAGAGATGGATAACATAGTAAGCGAAGTAACGCCATTGATGAAGCGGAAGAGTTGTGTAAATGGGCAATTCAAAGGCAGCTGCAGTTGGGGATAGTTTACGACTGGATAAGGGTCATAAACTGGAATTTTCAGGGTAATATAAACCGCTTCCTCCCTCCCAAAAAATTAAAATTAGTTTTTCAAGAATCAAATTAAATACGGTAATATTTATTTAATATTATAAAGGAAAAAAAATAAATATATCTCTGAACTATCGTAAATCGTATGCACATACCATCCGTTATACTTTTGGGACATTGGTGCCCTTGTCGTCAAAAAATAGAGCATGTATACCCTTTATACTAACGGACATACACGTGTCATAATCTTATCCACCGACCCGATATTTATTAAATATCGGATCGACGGATAAGATTGTGCCATGTGTCCCTATTTAGTCTTCTGTTAGAGCGAAGGGCATATATGCTCTAGTTTTTGGACGATAGGAACACCAATGTCATAAAAGTATGACGGAGGATATCCGCATACCATTTACGATAGTTCGGGGTATATCTGTCCTTTTTCCCTATTATAAAATATGAATAATATCATATTTCATGTGTTCACTTTATTTTTAACTTATCAAGAAAAATTATTTATTTTTTTCTATTTTATCCTCAACATTCGTAAAAGTGAACGGAGAGAGTAACATGCAAAGGCGAACTTTGTGGAGGGATGATTTTGAACTTTACTTTGCACCATGAGGCTCCAAGTTCAAAACTAGTCATAGTAAATGAGATTCAAATCTAGTCCCCCTCACCTCTGAGGTGTGCAACGTTTAGTTTTAGTGTCTTTGTATATATCAATGAAAGTTCGATGTGAAGCCCTTCCACACCAGTATGAATCATCTCCTCTCGAGATTGGTTCTTCCAAAGATTTCGAATTTGCATTAGAGATTGAGCAAGTGTCATCAGTCTAGGACATAAATGATAACTTATAGTGTTTTTCGCGTAAGTTTTAAAATTTTAATTTTTAAAATATTAAATTAATTTACTCTAATTTATATTTAAATATATAATTAATCAAATTAACTCCAAAATACTACACGGAAAAAGAGTGATTTAAAAAAATATTCAATCAAGATTTTCATATAGTCAGATTGTCTATTTAAATTTGTTGTTATTATGTTGAACCATTCTTTTTCTGAGATTCAAAAAGAAGCCTGCAAATAATATAATCCATTTGTGATGAGTGATGACCACCAAAGCTATGCCTTTTTTATTCCAACTTCCTTTGTGTCGTCAAGGATCTACACACGTATAATTTTCCTCTAAGGTAATGACCAATTTTCTAACAACAAAACTCAAAAACTCACATTTTTCATCCAGAAGAAATCAAGAAAGATTCTCCTATTCAATAGGAAGGAGGAACTTGCTCGGATGATAAACATTCATCACTTTCAACCTTAAGGTTCTGAGCTTAGTCACCAAGGAAGCAAAAAGGTGGGAGCTTCTAGAAAGGGTAAAAAGAAAAGATCTCCTTTAAGAACAAAAACAACCAACCACCATCAAATCCAAGCAAAACATAAATTTGGAATACAAAATTGGAACTAAATTGTTGTTGAAAAAAAACATTTTCACAGTTCCATACATCTAACGATTCGACAAGCAAGCTCCACAGTAGTCAGTCCCATGGCAGGAATTTTGAGCAAAAAATCATCCCGACACTAGGATATGGAAATTGAAAGATCAATGGCAAATCATGTCCATTGACTTTTAACACAAGAACACATGCAGCAGTCGCAAGATTCATCCATCAGTAACCAAAATTCCCTACTTTCCAATATAACACAAGCAAAATACATCCATAATGCACTAACAATAATTTCCTTACAAGAGCGAAAAACAACCAAATTCTTCAAGGCTATATAAGGGAGATGAGAATGTAATATGTTACTTTTTACAGTTACCGAGAATCGTAACAACACTTTTAAATGCAAGAATAGACTAAAATGATCAAAAGAAATTGCAACTGGTCAGGAAGGAGGAACTTCTTTTGCTACTTCTTGCATAATCTATATTCAGGTGAGTTTGATCGCAAAGGTGATAAAGGCTGCCTCAAAGAATCAACCTCGCTGAAATCAAGTTTTCCCTCTACTGGACTGCTTATCTTGGGGCTTGATTTCCTTTTGTTGCCCTGCGAGCACTGGTTAAAGGTTAAACAAAACTTAAGCTATGAGCGCAACATAGAGAGGAAACAAAAGAACAGACTAAAAGAAACTCGTATAAGCTTACCTTGCCAGAAGAAGGTTTTCCACCAGAACCAGGTGTGTGTTTCTCTTTCTGGTACAGCCTTATCAGCCTTTTATTTGCCTCATCCAAAACATTGTTTTGTTCAAACAATATGTTCACCTAAAATCAGAAAATTATCCCTTTTTTCTTAGTTTACTAGGCAGGCAGGAGATCAAACACTTTCTTTCTCTTTAAATCTACTCACCTCATCTTCAGCTTTATGGAGGTTTATCCTCAAATGTTCCTTGTCTTTCTGCAGAGTATTGACCTCAGCAACCAGAGCAATAACCTTTTGTGTTGATGGCCTCAATCTATCAAAGCAAAAGGCGCCCAGCTAAAAATTAAAACAAAACACAAAACTGTAGGCATTTGGAGAAACAGAAGTTGAACTCACCGCTTCCACTTCGTCATCAACCTTTGACAAACTTCTACACCACTATTTGCCTCCAGAAACGCATGTGATGTCGATGCAACATCATCTCTACCAATCACAGTTTCCAGCAAATTGTCAAGCAGATTCTGTTCCAACGAAGCATCATCTGTGGCTGTGTCATCCTTCAAGAATGAGTAAAGTAATCTAATTATTAGCCTCAAGAAGAAAGATTCTACTTCTAGCAATCTAGAGATGTATCAAATAGGATCTATAACTAACTAATTGACCGACTACATTGACCATGTTATTTTCCAAGCAGCCAATTAGTTAGGTTTCCAAGTAATCAGAGGGCTAATTGCATATCCTCAGAAGAATGATCTAATTATCTGAATGGCCGTTACACATGAAAAGGCACAACTTGAATCCCGGGAAAGAGAAAGGAAGCGTTATTCACAGAGCAATCACCAGTTATTTTACTGATATCAAGGAAAAATAAAATTAGACCAATAAGCTCTCTCATTCTCATAACCACCAAAAGTTTGGACAGGAGTTTCATTACTTAATATTATGTTACATTACCAGTATCCGACACTGGATCTAGGTGTCAGATTCATAAATCACATAAATCTAGGATCCGAAATATATAAAGGCCATTGAGAGTCAAAATAAATATAATGTTTTGTTAGTTAAGTATCTATTTTTTTTATAAGGATTGAAATGTCTACAATATTATTTAGTTTGTTCTACATTAACACATATATAGTAGTACAAACAAAAACAAAAAAGAAGAAGACCAATAAAGAGTAGTAGGAAAATGTAATAGAAAAGGGGCCTAAAAGCCCAATTCTGTTACAGGAAATGGAGAACAAAAATTACTCCCTATCGGAACCTGGACAGAGACAACAACAATTCCACTGGCATGCCAATGTTGTCATGTCAACACCGGTCAACAACGACATGGGAGAATTCACATAACATTGATCGTATGTCTAAAATCCTAAAATCGAGACATTGACACAACACAAGGTTTGAGAGACCTTGGCCTAACGAACGCTACCATTGAAGAACTTCAACCACATCATAACTCATGGTTAAAGAATGAGACGATCAACAAAGTCAAACCCTTCATATTATCCAGATACAATAGCTGTATAGCATTTGGGTCGAAAACTTTCTCACGTCAGAACCAACTTCAAAGATCCTAATGAAAAATTGGGAATAGTTAAAAATGCATTTGCTTGCCAAACTCCCAACATCATAGAAGACATATGTGTATGCTAAAATGGAGATCTTATCAGAAAAAAAAGTGTGACACTAGTAGGTTTTAGAGACCTTAGGCCTAAATAAACATTGTTACCAGAGATTTTTTTTTGACTTCATAACTTTTACTTCAAGAATAAATGGACATATTGTTGCCAAGAATGGCCTCAAACCAAACTGTAAGTCACCATCAAAGATACATAAATCACATCATAACTCATAGATGAATAAGGCAATTAACAACGTACGTATACCTAATTCTGAAAATCCAAAAGTGGAGACCTTATGCCTAAAACCCTAAAAATGGAGACAGTGGTACAACATAGGGTTTAAGAGACCTCTAGCTTAATGTACGCTACCATCAGAGTTATTTAACCACATCATAACCCATGGTTGAAAAATTGGGGAGTCAACAAAGCAGTGAGCCTCATGATATCTAGATAAAACAGCTCTATGAAGCTTTCTGGGTCGGAAACCCCTTTCATGTTTGAGTAGATATAAAAAACCCTAATGAAATAATGTGAATAATTAATGTTGTAGCAAAAATTCATCTGTTATCATCTATTTCAAGTAAATGCATTCAACTTACACTGAATCTCTTAAAAGTACTCTGGGATGCAAATTTAGAAACTTTACCACAACATATCTTGAAGTACCCTTTGGGCAAAAAGTTGAGAGCGTCCACCAATTAGCAATGTTTATCAGAAAATGTGTAAGAAAACTAGCTTCTTGGAAGAAGCAATATAATTGCTATAAGATGACCAGACTTACTAATTGTGTGCTTCATAACATACCTACGTACATAATGGTATTACATACGACAACAACATCATACACAGTGTAGTCCAACATTGTTGGGTCTTGGGAAGGTAGAGTGTATGCATACCTTACTTCTACCTGAGGTAGAGAGGTTGTTTTTGATAGAACTCCGGCACAAGGCAAAAACAGTCTAGGAAAAGACATAATGAAAGAACAATAGACAATAGATAGTAACATAATAGTACTACAACAAAATAATACTACAAAGAAACTACACTAAATAATAAATAATCACAGAAATCGAAGAACAAGAAACTACAAGAGTAGTCCTACGACTACTAGTAGCACTCCTACCTACTAGTATGGACACACTCCTACCTAGTAACCTTCTACCCTAATTCGTGTCCTCCACATCTTCCTCTCTAAGGTCATGTCCTCCA